TTTGGGACCAGCTCCAACTACCTTAAGGCCTTGGAGGGAAAACAGTTGAAAAGTTCAGCCTACTGTGTCCTTAAGGTGTCTGCTTCCCCCTAATGGCCGCTGGCTGACATAATGACTGCTCGGATTAAGGGGGGTCACTAGTAACTTTCACAGTCCCCCCTTCAGGCATGACAAATTCAAAAATTGTCAGGCCCGTTACGCAATTTGCGATCAAGCTGGAGGGACAGATACTGGGTTTTCTTATGGACAGCAGAATTTTTGATCATAGCATTACACAGGGATTTGGCACATTGTATCATTATCCAAATAACACATTGAAAGAAAAGAAAGAAAAGAATCCATTTAACAATTGTTTGAAAGAGCCCCGTAAACCATGACCCAAGGTCTGGACGCGGGTCCTCAAAACTACAGGTGTTATCAAGAGATACAGCATGGAAAACAACAGCAGCATTCTTAATGGCTTGTAAATCCTGCTCAATTAAGCCAGAATGATTAACATGGAAACAACATTTTTCCCCGATGCGAGCACAAGCCCCCCCTAATTCAGCATTCATAGCATCTAACACACGTCTATTTTGCAAAGCTATTTCTGCCACCTCATCAATCTCCTGTTTCAACTTTTGGAAAGCGTCTATTGATGCATTGGCTATTTTTTCTAGTTCTGCAGAAATATTTACTACTGCTTTTTCTAGCTCGGCTACCCCCAACCCAGGAATGAGCGCACGAACAAAGGAGTGAAACCCCATTTGCCTGACTACTAGGGGATTGTTGGCATGTTTCGCTCGAGTCCTTATAAAGGGGGGGGGGGTGAAAAACTTATGGGCATAGCTGCCAGGTTGAGGATCTGGCTGGCATCCAATGTGTCGTTCACTTGGACATCTGGTAACACCCGGGCCACACCGCACCGACCTTGCCAACCTAAAGGGAGAGCTTTGTAGACATTGTGGCCACAGATAAAATACAAGCTAGGGGTCTCTAAATAGAGGGTAAGGGTATTACCTGCAACTCGATGGCGCCAGGTCACCCATCTATCCCAGCGCCCGGAGTTACTCGCTAGCCGGTCCTGGCACCTCCAATGGGAAACATTTAAGTCTCCTAGGGCATGGGTATTGTTTAAAATGGCCCCACAATACGTAACCCCAAATATGTTAGCTGTAAAACTTGCAGGTGATCCCATGGACATCCAGACATCCTTTCAAGGGATGTTTGGGGCAACAGAATGCCAGAGTAAATATCCATATAATACATATGTGTCTTATTTATGGGGCCTAACGGGAGGAATAAGGGAAACCACTGCCCTTGATAACAAATGCCTGTTGGTCTCACAGTAATGGCCATGTGCAGGAGACAATGGGGTTTTTGGGCATTCTCAGGGGTATTTAAAGGATAAAAGGTTCCATTTCTGACTTCAAACTGAAGGGTTTGATCACAGGCCTCCAGGGGAAGGTAGCCCACTTCCTTCAGCATTTTCCAAACAAAGGGGCATGTTATACCCGATCCCAAGAAATTCAAAAAGAGGGACCCCCTTAACTGCCCAGTAATAATGCCAAACTTCAGACCTTCTCCCATATTTGTCATATTGATATTCCCCAATCCATGCCCATTCAATTTTCCGTTCTACCTGTAAGGAGAGTACTTCAGAAAGATTTGCAGGTACAGCCCACAATCCTATTCCTTCCTCAGAGCGGGTTTTGTGACACAGCCAACAATCAGATAAGTGTCCCAACGTGGCTATTTGCTGAAGAGATTTAGTGGCTGGGTGTGGGTTAGGATCTGGCTGGAAGGGGCAAACCCAAAAGCAATAGCCACTGCAAAACCGTCTAAGAACCCATACTTATAAAGTCTTAGGATTTTGTTCGCAGGAACAGAAGCTTTAGTCCCTCAAGAGGTTCAGCTTTCCAGGTATCGTCTGCTTCTGGCTCTTCCAGGTCGCGGTGGGAAGAGCTGGCGGTGCTCCCTCGAGGTCCGAAGTCATCTGCTTCTGGCCCCGTCCTAGGGGGTAGCTTGACTCGGGTATGGTGTATCCAAGTGTCTTGCTCTTTCACTCGAATAGCAGTGTGAGAGGTAAGAAGGACTTGGAAAGGGCCCGCCCACCGGGGTTGGAGAGGCTCGTGTTTCCACTCTTTCACATAGACCCAGTCTCCTGAAGCGATCCGGTGGGCAGGAACATCAGCGGGTAGGGACTGAAATTGAGTCCCAGCTGTCCTTATCTAGAGGAATACTAAAAAAAGCATTACACAAGTCTATTATTGAATAACAAGCAGTACCTGCTGGAATGGCAGTCAGGATTGTGTGAGGGTTTGGTACCACATTGTGTCTAGCTTGAACAACCTTATTTACTGCACGTAAGTCCTGGACAAATCGGTATACCGGTTTTCCCTCTGAGTCCATGTCAGGTTTTTTTGACTGGCAGAATGGGAGTATTGAAAAGAGACTTGGTGTGAACCAGCACTCCCAACCGCAGGAATGTGGTGATAAGACTCCAGAGGCCAAGCAGAGCTTCTTGCGGGATGGGATACTGACGAATCCGAGGAATTTCAATGCCTGGCTTCAGGGTTATACGCACTGGCTCTGTCTGGAGAGTCCCCAAGTCTGCCCTTGAAGTGCCCTACAGGGAGATGTTTACCTCCTGTCTGAGTCGCTCGGGTCATTCTTTGCTAGGAATTTTTGTTTCTTCTGTGACTTGGCTTTTATAGTCATAAACGACATTTGTTCCCATTAGCAACAGCGTTGTTGGTCATTCAACTTTAACAAAACAAAATATATTTTATAATTACTTTAGCTGGCTTATTCCTTGTTTCTTAATTAATTTAACTGATTTTGTTAGTGTAGTGAGCTCATTACATAATGGTTAGTATGTCTGGAACAGCCTATAGTCAAATAAGCATCATCCTCTACTTACAAATAAAAGGCCTTCTGTGTTGTGCCTAGATACCATGGTGACTTGTACATATTTAGGTAGGTAGACTTGAGCTGTATTGTGACCACATGTGCATTTAAACTGTAGGCCCTTAAGGCAAGGGGTTCCATTATTTTGTGGATCATCCAACTTATTGTAAAGCATTCCGCACACCATAAAGAACTGTATGCACCTGTGGCACTATAAAGAATGCAGCCAGCCTAAAGAGTTGAATGGTGGGGAGAAAAAGATATACCAAGAATGAATGACTGAGAGTTTAAAGCCAGACAAATTCAAATTGGAAGTAAAGCACAAATTTGGAATAGTAAAGATGGAAAAAACCACTGGAGCAAACTACCAAGGAGCATGGTGGATTCTCCATCTGTTATGTCTTGAAGTCAAGACTGGATGCCTTTCTGGAAGATATATACTTTAATGAAACATGTGTTATTGGACTGAATAGAGGGGCAACCAAGTGAAATTCGGAACCCTGTAAAAAGAACGAGGCGTACTTGTGGCACCTTAGAGACTAACAAATTTATTTGAGCGTAAGCTTTCGTGAGCTAAAACCCACTTCATTGGATGCATGTAGTGGAAAATACAGTAGGAAGATATATATACACAGAGGACATGAAAAAATGAATGTTGCCATACTAACTATAACGAGAGTAATCGATTAAGGTGGGCTATTATCAGCAGGAGGAAAAAAAACTTTTGTAGTGATAATCAGGATGGCCCATTTCCAACAGTTGACAAGAAGGTGTGAGTAACAGTAGGGGGAAAAAATTAGCAAGAGGAAATAGTTTTTACTTTGTGTAATGACCCATCCACTCCCAATCTTTATTCAAGCCTAATTTAATGGTGTCCAGTTTGCAAATTAATTCCAATTCTGCAGTTTCTCGTTGGAGTCTGTTTTTGAAGTTTTTTTGTTGGAGTATTGTGAGTTTGAGGTCTGTAATTGAGTGTGTTATACAGGAGATCAGACTAAATGATGGTCCCTTTTGGCCTTCAAATGAGACAGTGGGTATTCATTCATCCGGTACTTGGATATCAGCATGATGGGCGCAGTAGAGTGATAAATTTCAGTGGTAAAGGATATGATGATTTGATGCATTTTAGGAGATCTGGATTTGTCTTTGTCTCCTGTTCTAGGTAATCTCATACTACTGCTCGTCACAGTAGCATCTAAGCGCTGCTTACACAGGCTACACAAATGATTGAGTTTGGTAGCTTTCTTGTCGTCTCCATTTGTGTTTATTCCAAAACCACTATACAGGCTGGCATGATTGTTAATGCAGGACTATTGGATTGATATGGGGAAGCCGTGAAGAATTGCACTATGTCTCTCTGCTCTAACAGCTCACTGTCATGAGCTTGAAAAACATAGTCTCTACCCCTCTATTGCTACTTAATCTAGTCCCTCCGTTTATCTCCTCTTGTTTCTGAGTGTGCCTCCTTTTACCCTCAGATAGATAGCGCATAAGAGCCTGATCATGCTCCCATTGCAGTTAGTTGGAATTCTGCCACTGGACGCAGGAACAGGCCCAAAGTGATACACTGCAATCAAACTTTTGACAAAATTATTCTGGTAGCTGATGGCAATGGAAGGAGTCTTTCTTAAGTGGGCAGAAGAAGCAGTGTGTTAGTGGACTGAGCACAGGGCCGGAAGTCAGGTCTCCTAAATTCTAAGGAATTGGCTGTGCCACTGATTTGGGAGTGTGGCTTTGGGCAAGTTATTTAAAACCTGTTTATCCAGTCCAAAAAAAAAGGCGGGGGATTGTATGGAGTTCCCTGGTGTCTTTTTTTCCTTTCTCTTGACAAACCCCAAATTTAAATCCCATTGAAATCCAAATGCTTTTGTGTCATCCTGGCCTGAGAGTACAGCCTTCATTGAAAACGAAGGTGGTGCAGTAGCACTGTTAATTACTCAGCACTGACAGTCAAGACAACTAACCCACTTCTCAATGCAATTATTGCCTAATCAAGGGCCTGTTGTAGATTTTAATTGAATTGCTATGCACCTAGATACTGTAGTGATCTAAGATATTGAACACACCTAAGCAATAGACTTTACTCTTCAATGTATCTAAATTGCACTTTAAACAAATTACTGTAGTTAATCTTGAATACCGTTGCTTTTCTCTCAATTTTACCAAGATTTTGAAATGAAGCCCATTAAGAGCTTTGTAAAATCAGGGTTCCACTTCTACTCAGCAGGTGTGTTGAGGCTTAATGTATGTTCAGTGTTTTGAAAACTTAAAGCACTATGCAAAAAGCTGAGTAAGATAGTAGGCTACCTTTAGGCTAGTTGTACTTCATTGTAAATTACTAGTAAATATATGTGGTTTCCAGGCTGAGGTCAACCCAGCTGGTTTACTCTAGGATGAAAATGACATGTGTTGTTTGTATATGGAATACAGCAATATCTGTATGTATACTTAATTGTGAATTCATTCATTGATATCCCAGATATGTACTGAGAGAGACTTCACACCTTACTTGAAGGGGCTGTTTGTTGAATCTTTCACAAAGGCATCCTTTCTACCAAGTGTTTATAAGTCATTGGAGTCAAATAGGTGTTAAGCAAAAACTAATGCTTTAAATATTTTGTCTAAAAAACCCATCCTCTTTCAGTGGATAGAACATTGGACTGGGGCTCAGTTCTATTGCTGACTGCCATTGGCTTGCCTGGTGACCTTAGACAAGTCACATCACTTCTCTGTGCCTTAATTTCCCCCTCAGTAAAATTAGGATAGCTGCCTCCTTTGGTAAAGTGTGTTGAGAACCATGAACGAAAGGTACTAAGAGCTAGGTGAGGTACTAATTTCTAATGAACTCTTTTTTTTAAAAAGAAGAACTTCTTTTTGATGTTGTTGATGTTGACAGTCTTTCAAGCCAACTTTTATACATCGTAGTTTTAAAACTCTTATCTTTCCCTTCCCCCTCTCCTGTGTGTGGTTTGTGTGTTTTATCCATTTTTTTTTCCAGTTTCAGCACTGGATACAACTGATTTTTTTGTGTTTTTGTTTGTTTTAATGCTGTGTTTTGTTTGGAGCAGCAATATTTTCCATTAGTCCTGTGGAACAATTAATGGAAACTTGTGTGTTTGAATTGCACAGCCCAACTCTTCCTCTGGCAGCATTCAGTCATTAAATTGCTAATGTGAAAATTAAAGTCCAAGGGGAAAAAATGAAGTTGGGGGTGAGGAGGCAGGATGACTCTGGAGCACTCATTTTACTGCCCGTGCTGTTGAAAACAATCATTTTCTGAACTTTTCTGTTTGAAGGGGGAAAAAAAATCTGATTAATTTCCCCCCCCACCCTCCATTCTCAAGGGCCTCCTCCTCCAGTCTGTCACATCAACTGTGCTAGTCTTGCATAAATGTTAATTTGTGGATTGTCTGTTTGGGAGTAAAATGCATGGCTGCTTTTCCTTTGGTTTAAAATTCTAGTGCTTACATAAAGTGCTAGATTAGGGTTACCATATCTAACAAATAAAAAAAGAGGACCCTCCATGGGCCCTGGCCACGCCCATTTCCCATCCCCACCCCCGCCCCAACCCCGCCCCTTCCCCGCCCTAACTCCGCCCCCTCCTCCCTCCCACTCCCAGCCACGCGGAAAGGGCTGCCCGAGCGGTACCGGCTTCATGGATTGCCGGGCAGCCC